GTCCTAGAGAAGCAAACTCCAGTTTTCTTTCTTTCCTGCATTTTCCACTCTGCTGCTTTTTTCTAAAATAGCTCCTTTTCTTGCATCTGAAACTGTAACTAAGAAGCATTGCTGACATGTCCTTTGGTCCAAACCAGCACTGCAGTCATTCTCACTTGAAATTAACTTTTCCTGCAACTTCATATTTCAGTATTTGATTAAAAAGTCTGTGGGTTTGATTTCTTTGCTATTCTTACTGTTCTTTTTTCTACATACAGATTTAGTGAAAGTAACACTGTGCAAACACTCACAATGAACAGCTAGCACATTTTCCTTGTTAAAAGGTCATACAATGACCTTCACGGAATTTCCAGGCTTACACAACAAAAATTTAAAAACCAGTTAATGTTTCCAGATATTAAGTCTGTTGGATAATTTTCTGCATACTGGGTCATTTGGCTACCATACATTTCATAAAGCATTAGTGAAAGCGAGTTCATATTTAAAAAAATAAAAAAAATAAAAAAAATCTGTTTCCCTGACTTTTCTCAAGCAATTTTCTCCATGGCCATTATAGCTCATATCATACTTCACTTCTTAAATAATATAAAATATGTAGGATTCATGATTTAATTGCAACAGTAAATAGAGTAAATTATAAATAGGTGTGTTACAGGATCACTACAGGGATTACAATGTAAAGAATTCATGGCATTACACGATATGACAGGCAAGCTTCATTTGAGCATTTATTCAGACGAGAGTGCTTTCCAGAAACTAGTATTAAAGTGAGCGTTGCCTACACAAGAGCAAAAAGGCACATTTCTCCTGAGTCTACTAAGCAGCTTTGACTAGGCCCCGACAATGCTACACTTCTGATCTTCAAAAAACAAACACGTGTAAATATATCATTTACTGTTGAGTAAATGTAAAAAGTAAATATACATTTATTTCTACAGTAGTACAAAAATTAAATCTTCCCTTTCTTCATCTTTCATCTGTTTCAATTGTCATGGAAAACTTGTGGTCAGGAACATTTCCACCCAGGCATTTCAAATCACTTGAAGCTAGTTTTGAATGGAACTGTGAATTAAATTTATGGGACTAGAAGAAGATGGCAGAGTTGGAGATGCTTTAACAGGTATGTATTTTCTTACTTATCAGCACTTCAAATTCTGCTTAGGATATTAAAATGGAGTTGGGTTCTTCCATCTTCTGCACCAGCAGTAAAAAGGACTCTGCAAGCCAAATTAGGTATTTAAGAACAACTGCACAACATCACTATCCTCTGTGGGTGTGGTGCAGGTATAATAGATCAGGACTTAACAGACAATTCCGCTGATAATGTACGTAAAGGAATATAATCTTGTTTGTCCCTTTAGCTGAATTGGCTTCTGGAGGTAAGGAGGGACGAAAGGCTAGAATCTGGGGCTTTAATCACTCAGAGAAAAGATACTACATCAACATACATTAGGATCAAATCTGTTCACATCATTAAAAATCTACATTTAACATAATTTTGCAGATTGCATTACCATTAAAAATTCAGTGGAAGGGAAATCTGCATTTATCATAATGTGGTGCAGGATACAGAAATGTCTTCATTTAAAAGTAGGCTACACTAAACACTTCATCTGTTATAGGAAACAACTGTACTCACCCAGAGAAATGGGCTGGATCTCTTAAGAAGTCTTTCCCTGGAGCTTCTAACTTAGTAGGCCAATTTTGAAAATAAAAATAAAAATCAGAGAACAAAGGCATCACTGAAGTCTCGAAGAATAAGGCATTTACTTATCTGAGACACCCAAGTTCCAATTCTAGCTGTTCTAGTGATAACTAATCTTACATTCCCAATTTGACTTTCATAATTTACCTATGAGAGTAACAATATTTATCCACCTAATACCTAGCAGTGCTGCAGAGATGAGTAAGACAATGCTTGCATGTACTTGAGCACTAGGCATTGTAAGATTTATCAAATGAACATCCCTAAAAGCATAAGATAGTCGTAATAAGAATAAAATTTTTTAAAATAATTGAAATGAAAATGGTAAGAAAAAATATGTCCTATATGTAAAAAAAAAAATAATTTTTTACTTTCAGTAACAAAAGCAATCCTCATTCACACTCTACCATCCATGCCAATTTAAAAGCTATATATTTATGCAGTGAGTTTAGTTCAGATACTTGCCTAGCTTCCAATCTCAATTTACTTGACAGAGCTGCAGAGGGGTCAAGTGATTTGCACAAAGGTACATAAAAAGTTAGCTGCTCAGCCAAGATTAGGATCAGTATCTTGACAGTCCCCCCACCGCTCCATTTCTGATGTCCCCATACAGTACTCAACACAATGCTGTAATAGTCAGGAACAGGGCGCAGAAGAAACACTGTGTAGAGAGGCAATCTAGTTTTTTCCCTGCTTCTGGCATAGACAAACCACATCCAGTTTTCCCTTTGTACCACTGTTACCCTACATCGAGCTTCTTTAGCACATGAAAAGGCTAACTTTGAAAAGTATGCTTTTTCATGCCACTGTATCCTTCAGATTTAGTCCCTCACATAAAGAGCCCAAAACACCACCTTCTGTGAAAGCAGTCCTATATCGTTACTCAGTATAATCTTGAAGACAACCTAGATTTTTATAAAATCAAATTTAATTTCATAGGTTTCTACAATTATAGGATTAGAAACTCACTCTTAATCTACTGAATTGGAGAGAATGTCAATGCCGTGGAAAAGCTCAGCTGATTCTAAACATCTCTAGGTTGGCCAAGGTACACAAAAATGCCATGTAGCTCCTAATGGCATTTCAAAAGCATGTTTCCCAACAACTATCAAATCAAGACTCCCTCATGTTAACCTACTAACAAAATGACAATTTGTTCAACCTGCAAATTGTATTGAAATGAGTGGTCCAGCTTGCTTCATCTAAATGTCTCCAAAGCAATTTGTTAATATTTAAAGAAATCAAGCCTTTTAGTAACAATAGCGATGATAATTTTCATCCTACAGAATACTTGCAAGTATTTTTCATCTTACTCACTTGAAAATAAAGATTGTGAACCAACCAAAAGCAAGCTCCAAGCACCTGCAACTCATATATCAAGAAGGAAACTGATTTTTGGCAGGTTATCATCAAAGCAACTTTAACTTGACCTCAAGGAGACAATCCCACTGAAACTTTGCAATGAACAATGAATGCAGGCAGTCAAACATAACTAAACAAGTCATGCTTTACTAAAATAGCTTATCCAACCCTTAAAGTACATAACATTTATTATTTTGTTTATGGTTTATTACTATTTTCAGCCAAGTTCATCAAGTGAAAATTGACTAAAACAGAGTTAGTAAATAATAAAAATAATTGGGGGCAGAGAAGGATAGAAGGGAAGAATATGAAATTTAACGTTACCATAAGTAACTAGTATAAAATTTAGAAATGGCTGTGCTGTAAAAAATTGAGAATATTTAAAAACACTACATTGTTGTGAAATGTAAAGTTCTGATTCCTCTACAGTAGTACAGGCAGAGAATTCTCTAACTTCCTTGACTTTTATGCAGTTAATCTCAGCTAAATAATAATAATGCAAGAGCCTAATTCGTTTTCAACATATTATGTGATACTATATCATGTGTTATTTTGACTGTCACATTTGCTCAGATTTAACCTAATTATTAAGTTTTTATATAGACGTCTATCTTATTGCTGTTTGCTTTAATTCAACTATATCCAGTGAATGCTCTTCAAAGACTTAAAGTCTAGGAACCTTGTAAACACTTGTGTAATTTGTACCCTGCTGGGGCTGGCAGTGGAAATTTGTCGGTTTTATTTGCAGCAGGCTGTAGCTAAACCTTGCCAGATTTAAATAATCTTTTTGTACTACTGCTTGCTGTTTCAGTTGCAAACGAATCTCGTTTCTTAGCTTAACACTCACATCAAGAAAGCTAGAAGGTTCCAGGAAAATTTCAAAAACCCTAGAGTCACCTACTGCAAGGCTTATTATGCAGTTTAGCAACTGGTTAAGTTAATACTGAGAAAACAGACTGAATGGTCCCTGAAGGCAAGTTTGGAGTGCAATCAGAATGTGTGATTGCAACAGAAAAGCATATTGAAGCCTCAATCTTGTCAACTTAAGGACCACCTGCTGTGACAATGGTGAAATACAGGTGACAACGCAGTCTAAATACATTTAAGAGTATGAGTGCCTAAATGGGAGAGTACTCTCTGCTAAAGCCTATTCCCAATAGGTCTCCCTGGTTTTGTTTGGGTTTTGGTTTTTTTTTTGTTTGTTTGTCTGGTTTTTTTTTTTTGGTGTGTGGTTTTTATGTTGGTTTTTTTTAAAATAAGATCATAAGAAATGCCCTGCTGGGACAGAAGCTATTGTGTCCAGTGGCAATAGAAGACACTTTCTAGGAAAAGCATGCACACCCAGCCTCTTTCTGTGGTCAGTCCCATAAAATAACGGTTGCTGTCCAAACTCAGCTGGTGAAAAGGTATACAGGATCCTAAATCCATGTCCTATTGTAACAGCTCACTACCCACCCAATAAGGGACCAAAAAAAAATAAAAATCTATTCCTTCCATGTTAGTATCTTCCTGAGACTCAAGGTGGTATATTCCAAATGAGTCCATGTAGGTGTTTCTATAATAGTGGTAGATATTTTCACTATGATTTTCTATCACATAATGGACATTACATGTCCTAACATTGCCCATTTTTGACTACTTTATTACCAAATCTTGGCACAGCACTGTGTCATGCAAAAGACCGCAAAGTAGTAACAAGCACTTTTATAAAGAACACTCAAACAATACAAAAAGAGCTATCAAACAATCATTCCTCATACAGCATTCAAAACATTGAGTATACAAAAGCCTATAAAGGAAGAATTGTAAACTATCTTTTCTAAGCTGTTAGTACAGTTGATTATTTCACCCATAATCCAACTGCTGCCACTGCAGAAGCAAAGATTCTTTTAGCCCTGACTGGTTCATTTCCTTGTGCTCTGGATTCCCTTACCTTGAGTGAGCTGGAGCTTTGCTAAGAGTCCTCAGCTCCTTTCCTGTTTCTCTAAATGTGGAGAGCCTCTTCACTGGTTCCGGTGGAACAGGCTGAAAGTGATCAAATTGAAAATAAATATTACAGTATTAATTAAGAAGAGCTTAGCATAGAGAAGGTATGTGTCATCTCAGGGTTCAGTTTTAATCACCAAATATTTTCTGCGATGGTCATCACCTAGGACAGCATTGTGTCATTTCACAAGCATGTAAACAAGTCTTACATGATACTGCTGTGCATGCCCGTGTGTACATGTGTTCCAACAGTTTTTAACTCATTGCCTGACTTCAAGTTTGACAGAGATCTTACAGGCAATTAAGCACCCATGAGCTTCATTAAACCACGGGACAGGAGGAGGAGATTGTTCAATGACCTAGACTTAAGGAATGACTGCCACAAGTGCTTATGCATTACCAAACCACAAAAAGTATGCACGGGAGAGAAATCTTTTAGAAGTCCCAACCCCCAAAAAATTTGTAAAAGTCAAAACAATAAGAAAAGCTCCACAGACAAGGCTGGGCTTAGAGCACAGAACGTAATAGTTTTACTATTTTCTTTCTCTCTTATTTTTTTTTTAAAGAGTGTACAAACCAGGTCAGCAATTTTACATAAGGGAATTAAAATCACCTACTTAATACATTGTTCAAAATGCCTGCAACATTTTTTCTTCTAAGCAGCTATGGAACTGAAATACATGGGAGATAAAAGCTTGTATTTGTTGTTGAACTAGCCCTGGCTTAGAAGTACCCTTGGGGTTTCCAGGGAACAGCTGCACCAATTTGATAGAATTATGATTGCATCCTGTGCATATGCAGTGTTTTTGCATGTGTTAGGTAATAAAATATGCAGCTGAGGCAGTTCTCAATGTGCAGAAACTGCATGTATAAATTGCCACCCATTGGGAAGTATAGTGCTGGTGTGCAGACACTGCGGTGCAGTCCAAGGCAGTTCCGTGCCTTCTTAAGTGTCCTAAGGTGTCCAGAAAAATTAACTCCTGGTAAAGGAAATAAAGAAGATCCTTTATTATGCACCTGGGAAAGTATGCAATAGGATATTGCAGATCTCAGTTTGATTGCTGAAAGAACTGGAGCTCTGTATGGACAAATGCTTCTATGATATGACTGAGCTGTATACTTCACCCTTTCTTAGCATGTTTTTAACTTTAAGAGAACATTCCAGAAAGCGCAAACAAAAGAAAAGATTTCTTTTTAATGAGATGTATATGTAAAAATAATTGTAAATGAGAAGTGAAAACAGAAAAAACTATAAATGAATATGTTGTGGAATGTTTCTGGCATTCAATCCAGAGTTCTTCTGTCAGTTAAACACCTGGCACAGCTGCACCTTTCAGCAGG